TTAATTTTATATATTATATCATTAAATAAAATATTAGTAAAATATTTTAAAACTTATTTTTTTAATTTTTATTTATATATATCATATCATTAAATAGTACATTACTTAAGTGATTATAATTATCAAACAACTTTAACTTCAAAATTTAATAAACAATGAGAATCAAATTGAGGATAAAATTGAAATTTTATATTTTTAAAAATAGAAAATAAATATCTTCATTTTAAAATTAAAAAAATCAAAATTACATATCAATAAAAATAAAAAGATTAAAAATACAATTTAACTTATTAAATATTAATTTTTTTCAAAATATATTGATTTTTTCAGATTCATCATAGTCCGTGTAAAATTGAGAGTTTTTCTATTTTAATTCCTTTAAGAGTAATTCATTTTCATCTTTATAAAAAAAATTTGTGTTATTTTTGGGTTTGACCTCAGATTAACAGTTAAATGTGACAGAAAAAAGTTAAAAAAATAATTATAAGGACAAAAAAATTAAATGAAAACAACTAAATTTTCAAAAGACCGAAATGAAGAGAAAAAAAATTGATCAGACCAAAATAAAAATGATTAAAATTTAAATAATTATAAAAAAATCAATCATATTTTATAAGGACTTAATATTTATTTAAGTCAAATTTAGAAAAATCTAAAATTTTCAATACAACAAATGCACTTACATAATAAAAAAATATAACAAATTCGTTAATGACGGAAAGAAAAAAAGTTATAAAATTAGACGTAAAACCTCATAAAAGTCATATAATAATATAATCATTTTTACAAATATACAAAAAGTAGATATAACAAATAAATAAAAAATTTAACACAAAATAAAGTTAAGATAACAAAATGACTCGTAATATGCATAAATTAATAAAGAAATGAAACAAAAAAAAAATTAACAAAACTACATTTAATATCTTTTCTACATTGCAGTGATCTCTTTTATAGATTACAGTATGTACAAGAAAAATGAACCTATTTGGATTATTTCAAACTCGTATGTTACCATTGATTAGTGGACATCTCTTTTTATTATTTCTTATTTTTCTATTTTGGTCACTGTAATTTATTAATTTTTTTGTTGGATTTATAGATCAATTTGATAACAAATATGAAAATGTAAAAATAAATAAATAAATAAAAGACATTAAAAGAACTAAAATATAAAAATAAAAAAAATCTCATGTTTTACGAGGACTAAACAATTAATTAAGCTTATATCAAACTATATTTTTAACTTTCCATTAATTTTTTATTTTTTATTAGAACTCATAATCCCATCCTCAAATTTATAATTTGGAGTGTAGAGAAGTTTAGCGATTGATGTTTGAATTTTATTTGTGAGAAAAAAAAATGATTATTTAAATTTAGTTTAATTTAATTAATTGAGTATAATTAAAGATATGAGTTTAACTTATTTTAAAAAAAATTATTCTTCCTATTTCATAATAAGTATAGTATTAAATTATTTTATATAAATAAATAATAATAAATAAATAAATAAAAATAAATAATAATTTTACATAATTAATTTTATAATAAATATCATACTAAATTATTTTATATAAATAAAAAAGAATATTAAATAAATAATAATAAATAATAATTTTACATAATTAATCTATTAATTAATTTTTTTTACTATAAAGGATGTAATATAATACAACACTTTTAATATTTAGCCGGTGACAACCTTGAATGCAGGCTGGGATGATTCCAAAGGCTATTTGTCTGAAGGATATAAAAAAAATATTATTTACTATATTTAGCCTGTGTCTACGCTTTTTCCAAGAATGGTCTTATTTCTTGTAACTGAGGCAACAAGTAACGTCACTAACATTTAAGGGGGTGTATTGGTTTAGGATTTCGTAGGATTTTAAAAGACTTTTTTTTGAGTAAAAAAGTTCATTGGTATTCAATCAGGATTTTATGTCACTTAAAAACAATCCAGTGGTATTCAATCTGGATTTTCAGGATTTTTTAAAGAGTCAATTAAAATCCACTGGTATTCATTTGAGATTTTTTACAACTTAAAAACAATCCATTGGTATTCAAAAATTTAAGGATTTTAAAGGATTGTTGTGTGAGAGGGATTTTGAAAGACTTTCTAGTGTTATCTATAAATACCAGATTCATAAAACAATCCCATCCAAACCCATCGGATTTTGAAGGATTGTTTGAAATGATTTTTCAAGTGTTTTAAGAATTTTCAAGTGAGTTTTTCATCTTTTTTTTCTATGCTCCTGTCTTCTCCATTTTTTCTCTACTAATAATACTACACTATTGTTCATTGCTCATATATAATACTATTCTCATACCATTCTCCTATTTTGTGAAACTCTAATATGTAAATGATAGTGTCATTGACTTGTTTTATTTTTCTGTTCGTTCTCTTTAATTGACTTACTTTATTTTATTCTATGTAGTTGAATTTGTTCCTTTATATAACACAAAAAAATACTTGAAATTTTAACTTTTAAGTGGTAATTTTTTTTATGACACACGTTAAGAAAAGAAAAAGGTGAAAGATGAAATTGATATCATAATCTCAACAATATATATATATAAATATATATATATATATATAAAAGATGAATTTGTTAGGGTTTTTGTGAGTAGAATGAGATAAAAATGGATCTTAGTAGGGGGAAGAACCCTCTTAGCATAAAAATTGCGAATTCTCTCTTTCCCTTGAATTTGTTACTCTTATCCCTCCTCCTTTTATGACTCAACAATTATTTTATTTTTTTTACTATGAATTTTTCTTTTTTATTTTTATATTATGAAATTAAGATTTTTTATATTTTAAAAAAAGAAAATTAACATAAGACATTGCAATATCTAATTTTTTAGGGTTTAGGATTTATGCCTTCATTAACTTATTTTTTAAAAAAGAAAATATTGTTAAAATATTTGTTAGAATAATTTATATTTATAAATATCGTTAAAAATTATCATATATATATATATATATATATATATATATTCTCTATATCTAAATACTTCTGTTTATATAAAAAAAATTATATATCTAAATATTTTTTCAGTATCGAATATACTAATTTTTTTATATAAAAAATTATCTTATGTTTCTATATTTTCGTTTTTACATTTTTTTTATAATAACTGAGGTATTTGATCCATTTGGATAGCAAAAATATATTCGATCTTGTATGATGGTGTGCTTCTAAAAATAATAATATAATTTTATTGATTTTGTCTATTATCCGTAATTATTTATATAACTATTTTTTAACATATATTGTTTTAGTAATTCAAATGGGAGATTCACAAGGAAATAATAAAGAAAAATGAAAAGAGAAAGAAAACTATGAAGCTTGGATTAAGGATGATTCCGATGAATTGTTACAATTGATAGTGGATGCTATAAAAAGAGGATAGAATATTATAGAGAATTATTATTATTATTTATCTAGACATTATTTTTTTTATTTATTATTTTTATCTTTGACTCTTTTTAAATTTGAATGTATAATTTTTTTTAAATCTTATCAAATGTCAAAACTCCACAAAATCCCACAGAATCCATTAAAATCCTAATTTAAAAGTCTTGCAGAATCCATTAAAATCCTGATTTTAAGTCTTGTAGAATCTTGCAAAATCTTAAAAGTCATGAAAATCCTGCAAAGTCTTTTAAAATCCGCAAGATTTTTTTTAACTAAAAAAGTCCTTTAAAATCCTAATCCAATACACCCCCCTAAATCTGGAATCTAAATATTTTCTTATTATTTTGTAACAAATACTAATAGTTTAATTTTGTATGTATAACATATAATTAAGTGACTTAAATATTTAAGTGCAAAAGTTAACAATTTTATTGTAATTAAAAAATCTATAATTAGATATTAGTGTAAAAAATATTACTATAATAAGATAAATTATTAAATTATATCTGTAATAATAGATAAAGTCGATATCTAATTTTAGTGTACATATTTCATTAATTTTTGTTATCTTTTATATTTATTTACTAATGAAACATTTTATTTTTTTAATATTGAAATTGTTCACAATGTTATACTCACACAATTATGTTTAGAATTTTTATTATAGGATTAATCAATGATATTAACCGTCACATTGATGGAATAAAAAAATTTCACCTTCACTGTCACCTCTTTTACAATATTTGTCACATTGATAAAAAAAAATTGTCACAATAAAAAAAACTTTGCAGAAATAATTAAATAAATGATAAATTTTACAGTTATAAAAAATGAAAAAAAAATATATAAAAATTTTGCAGTTAACTTTGATAAAGAGAGTACTTGAATTTGATTTTCAGGATTTTTTTAGACCATCATACCTTTTATTATTTTCTTACTCTCTCACTTTATATATATGTAGAGAGAGGCGGATCCACTTATATGATGCTGGCGCAGTTGCCCCACTACCTCTATGCCAACTTAGAGA